TGTCCGTTGGGGATGGAGGTCGACATATATAGGAGTCTCCCTAACAACAAGTAGTAATGCTATTCCTTTACCCTGCTTGGTCATAGCACGGTAGTGGGAGCTGCTAGCTTCACATGTTTTAACTCTGTCAGAGCACTTTGAAAAAGTGGTCTGTGGTATCTGGCTCTCGAGAAGTCTTCGACAGAATGCCCATAATTTCCGCAAAGCTGAGTGTGCGTGTGACAGGTGCTGACAAGGCTAGAAAAGTAGGTGTCTCTTCGATTTCTGAGATCGGCCCTCGTGGTCTCTGAGCAGTCCAGCTTTTGAGAAAGCGAGCGTCTCTTCGATTGATTCGGAGAACGATGCATCTTCGATTTTTTAGAAAGCAATCATGCTGGGGGTCTGGCGCTGGGGGTCTGGCTCTCGAGATTCGGGGAGCAGTGTCACTTCGATTTTTGAGAAAGTAATCATGTTGGGAGTCTGGCTCTCGAGATTCGGAGGGCGGTGCCTCTTCGATTTTGGAGCAAGCAATCTTGTTGGGAGTGTTTTCTCGAATGTGAGTAAAGGTTGGGCATGTTTGCTAGTCTACCTTGCCACGAAGCACAGAGGTTGACACACAGGGATTTTCCAATTATCCAGCAATGGTACTGTTCCTTTACCCTCTCTTCGATTTTTGAGAAAGTAGTCATGTTGGGAGTCTGGCTCTCGAGATTCGGAAGACGGTGCCTCTTCGATTTTGGAGCAAGCAATCTTATTGGTAGTGTTTTCTCGAGTGTGAGTAAAGGTTGGGCATGTTTGCTAGTCTACCTTGCCACGAAGCACAGAGGTTAACACACAGGGACTTTCCAATTATCCAGCAGTGGTACTGTTCCTTTACCCTTATGGGTAATCATATGGTAGCTAGACATTCAAAATTTATGGGTCTAAACTTTGTTAGTGCTGTTTCTTTGCTATTCTTTTACCTTTCTTGGTCAAAGCGATGTAGTGGGAGCTGCAAGCTTTACGTGCTCAATTTTGGCAGAGAACTTTGGTAAAGTTATCTGTGGTACCCATGAGCTATTGTTGCGTGTGGGAAGTGGGTGATTGAACAGTAAGATTCATGTGTTTTCTACTTCCTCAGAAGTCTTCGACAGAATGCCCATAATTTCCGCAAAGCTGATTGTGCGTGTGACAGGTGCTGACAAGGCTGGAAAAGTAGGTGCCTCTTCGATTTCTGAGATCGGCCCTCGTGGTCTCTGAGGAGCCCAGCTTTTGAGAAAGCGAGCGCCTCTTCGATTTCTGAGATCGGCCTTCGTGGTCTTTGAGCAGCCTAACTTTTGAGAAAGCAAACGTCTCTTCGATTTCTGAGATCAACCCTCGTGGTCTCTAAGCAGCCCAACTTTTGAGAAAGCAAACGCCTCTTCGATTTCTGAAGCTCCGTCGAGTGCTGATTTTTATAGGGGTTGGCATTAAGTTCCAAAGCACACTTGAATCTCCACCAGTAGAAGCTCCATTCTTGCACTTCTAAGATCTTGATTTGTTCAACCTCTTCTCTCTTCAACACCTTTGAAAATGTCTGGCCCCTCCGACCGTCGTTTTGACTTGAACCTTGTTGAAGAGGCAGCCCCGCCTTCTCCAGACAACATATGGCGCCCATCCTTCGTCTCCCCTACTGGTCCTCTTACCGTTGGGGATTCCGTGATGAAGAATGATATGACTGCTGCGGTGGTGGCCAGGAACCTTCTCACTCCCAAAGATAACAGACTACTTTCCAAACGGTCTGATGAGTTAGCTATTAAGGATTCGCTGGCTCTCAGTGTTCAGTGTGCAGGTTCTTTGTCTAATATGGCCCAACGCCTATTTGCTCGAACCCGCCAAGTTGAATCATTGGCGGCTGAGGTGATGAGTCTCAAACAGGAGATTAGAGGGCTCAAGCATGAGAATAAACAATTGCACCGGCTCGCACATGACTATGCTACAAACATGAAGAGGAAGCTTGACCAGATGAAGGAAACTGATGGTCAGGTTTTACTTGATCATCAGAGATTTGTGGGTTTGTTCCAAAGGCATTTATTGCCTTCGTCTTCTGGGGCTGTACCGCGTAATGAAGCTCCAAATGATCAACCTCTGATGCCTCCTCCTTCTAGGGTTCTGTCCAGTACTGAGGCTCCGAATGATCCCCCTCCGGTGCCTTCTCTTTCTGGGGCTCTACCGACTGCTGAGACTTCTCCTAAGCAACCCTTGTGAAGGCTCCCTCTTGTTTGTTTATTTTGACTCATGTATATGTACATATTTGTAGCTTATCGGGGATATCAATAAATAAGTTTTCCTTCATTTCAACGTATTGTGTTAAATACACCAAAACCTTCTTCGCTAAGTTCTTTGAATTTTCTTTTGTTGAAGCTTGTATGTTGAAGCTTTGTGAGTGGAGCATGTAGGTTAGGGTAGTGTTCCCTTAATTTCCCGAGTGAGGAAAACTTCTCGGTTGGAGACTTGGAAAATCCAAGTCACTGAGTGGGATCGGCTATATGAATCTTAGAACGCCATTGTGCTCGGTCCTGTGTCATGTCCTTCGTTAGATCCAAGTACTCTAAGTCTTTTCTTAGAGTCTCTTCCAAAGTTTTCCTAGGTCTTCCTCTACCCCTTCGGCCCTGAACCTCTGTCCCATAGTCGCATCTTCTAATCGGAGCGTCAGTAGGCCTTCGTTGCACATGTCCAAACCACCGTAACCGATTTTCTCTCATCTTGCCTTCAATTTCAGCTACTCCTACTTTACCCCGGATATCCTCATTCTTAATCTTATCTTTTCTCGTGTGCCCACACATCCAACGAAGCATCCTCATCTCTGCTACACCCATTTTGTGTATGTGTTGATGCTTCACCGCCCAACATTCTGTGCCATACAGCATCGCCGGCCTTATTGCCGTCCTATAAAATTTTCCCTTGAGCTTCAGTGGCATACGGCGGTCACACAACACGCCGGATGCACTCTTCCACTTCATCCATCCAGCTTGTATTCTATGGTTGAGATCTCCATCTAATTCTCCGTTCTTTTGCAAGATAGATCCTAGGTAACGAAAACGATCGCTCTTTGGTATTTCTTGATCTCCGATCCTCACCCCTAACTCGTTTTGGCCTCCATTTGCACTGAACTTGCACTCCATATATTCTGTCTTTGATCGGCTTAGGCGAAGACCTTTAGATTCCAACACTTCTCTCCAAAGGTTAAGCTTTGCATTTACCCCTTCCTGAGTTTTCATCTATCAACACTATATCGTCTGCGAAAAGCATACACCAAGGAATATCATCTTGAATATGTCCTGTTAACTCATCCATTACCAACGCAAAAAGGTAAGGACTTAAGGATGAGCCTTGATGTAATCCTACAGTTATGGGAAAGCTTTCGGTTTGTCCTTCATGAGTTCTTACGGCAGTCTTTGCTCCTTCATACATATCCTTTATAGCTTGGATATATGCTACTCGTACTCCTTTCTTCTCTAAAATCCTCCAAAGAATGTCTCTTGGGACCCTATCATACGCTTTTTCCAAATCTATAAAGACCATGTGTAAATCCTTTTTCCCATCTCTATATCTTTCCATCAATCTTCGTAAGAGATAGATTGCCTCCATGGTTGAGCGCCCTGGCAAGCAAGAAAAATTTTCCTTCGAGTCAGACTCAACAATAATCCTTTCCATACCCATCGAACTGGCAAGTTCGCACCCGTATAAAATTGCCAGTGCCTCCGCTGCTGCAGCACTCGGCGCCTTGATCTTCAACTTTCTCGCCGCCACAAACAAGCCATCATCGTTTCTTGCTATAACCCCAGCATGCCCATTACCAGTGGCAGCAACCCAACTTGCATCCACATTCAATTTCATGTGATATAGTGTCGAAGTATGTAGGAAATGCAAGAACAAATGGACTGTAGTATGCAAGGCAGCAAGGGGCAGGACATGATGCGAGAATAGTATTTTCGGAGCTGGTTGAATTCATGGTCTTTTTACAAGCCGGTCTGTAAAGTGAGAAACTTGAAAGTGGAAAGCAAGCAAGCAAGCATTCCAACTTTTTGACTTGGCTTGATTAATGGATGAGTGACATGGTTGGCTGAATCTTGAAAGGGAAAGATGTGATTACTCTAAGGGAAGGATGAAGTGTTTGAACTCAAAACGTAATGAGCTGAAGAGTGCTCTATCTATCAGTGCAATCCACTACTTGCAAGAAACTGTTTTTGTTATAAGACAAGAATGCACACATCTTCTTAGGATTTATATATCCCGCAATGTTGTTCAATGATAAAAACTATCTATACTTCTTCAAAAGTATCATCATAAAAAAATAACGAGATTCAAAATTGTATGATCGTTTACAAAAATATGAAGTAACACAATTTATTGGATGCAACTGAAATGAAAATGAGGATAATGAAATTGTTAAGTGAAATATTCATGATTAATTCGACTTTTTATACATGAATAATTCTTGAAAGGAAATCTAAAGACTGAGCAATTATAAAAATGAATGGAAGAAGATTTAAACACGCTCATTTTAGCCTCTTACATAATCTTTAAATGATAAATATGCGCTAAAATTAAACTTGAAACGTGAGAGGTTAAAAAGAGTGTAACTATAGTATTTTACTTACAAAAGAACCATGTCTTTATATATTATTGAAGTAGCTAGTACACTAAAAACAGCTTTACTCAATGAAAATGGTTGGTTGCGTGTTGTTTAGGGGGAAGTTTGTCGCGCGGCTGTCTTTACATCAACGTGTTCGCTCCTCATCCAAACCCTTCCTTTTACTCCCAACTCTATCAACTCATCTAAACACACACACACACAACTGAAGACACATAATAAATTCCATAATTATATATACACATACACTATATAATATGGGGTGTGCTATCCACACACCTCTTTTTACTTTTTTCACACCTCTTGTTAATTTATGTCATTTAATATTCTTCAATTCATCCGATCCAACGGCCGAAAATTAAAAGGGTGTGAGAGAAGTAAAAAATGGTATGTGGATATCACATCCCTATAATATATCTGTGTGTGTGTATGTGTGTGTGTATGTATATCGTTTCATATATAACCTCAACGTCCAGAGAGAGAGAAAGTAGAAGAACAAAGAGAGAGGTCATCCGCCATGTCAGTCCCAATCAGAGCAGGAGATGGTGAAGCCAAAAATCCGATGTTATCAATATCCTCCTCCTCCTCCTCCAGTTTGGAACAACCTCAGCGGCAGCCATCTGGTTCTTCTTCCTTGAAGCTTCCTCATCCTTCTCTTCTTCTTCATAGTAACAACAAGAACAGTAACAAACTAGGTTTGCCGATACTTTGTCAAACTCCCAGTTAAAAGTTGCACAATATTTTCCTCCATATTAGTGTTACATTAATTAAATTCATATAAAATATTCCAATGTACTAATTGAGTTGAATTTATTTAAGCCTTTTTGGGATTGCTTTTAGATTAACTAACAACGTTTTTCTTACATTTGAAACTCTTACAATTAACTGCGTTTGACAAAAGAAGTTCATAAAACTGGTTTCTGGAGAAGCACCTATAAAAGGTCTGGTTTAGAAAGCGCTTCACTTCAAAGTGCTTTTTTAGGAAGCACTTAAATTTTTAATAACGAGTTTAATGTATTTCCAGATGAGAAGATATATTGATCCGAGGGTTGGGCTTTTTTTGCTTGAAGTTACTTACATTTCCATGCCTTAATTTTAAGGGTTACTCTTTTGTTTTTTATATTTTTAATTTTTCAATATTAATTTTGTCTTAATTAATAGACGTTCCTTGGTTTTGGTCATTGGATGATGATGGTGATAATGTTCCAGAAGTGAGCGATGAAGATATGTTCATGGTTCCGGACGTGGAGGCGTTACGTCCTCCCAATAATAGTATTAATAATGCGGCCTCAACAATCGCCAATGCCACCAGTAACAACAACCCAGATGCCCAGTCTGGCTTTCCGGCCAAGCGCCACCGAGGCCGAAACCTGGTCGATAAGGAGTACAGGCGGCTCAAGAGGTACTATCAATAATAAATATAGGGGTTCGGAATCCCTATATTATCAATCAATGGCTTCTATACATAGGAGTAGTTTTTATATATGCAGTGCATTGCATCAATACACAAGCTACTTTTGCTTAAAACTTGCATGCATGCACAAATATTTGTCTAGTCCATGTGCCAAGTCGTTGTTACTTCCATAATTCAATCTTCCTCCCAAAACCCTCCCTCGGAAATTTCCGTTTATTCTTAATCAAGTTCTACCTCGCATTTGAAAGATTTTGCTGCAATATGTCCGGTTGTTTTTGGCCATCTTTGTTAGATTTGAACTCTCTTATTCGCTATTATGCGTAATTGGATTGCTAGAGACCGAGCTTACACCTACCAGTCAGAATGAAACTTGTCAAATTTTGAATGGAAATTAGCTGAATTGGAATTTTTTTTAGTTCGACATTGCCCAAAACCTCAATTTATCTTAATTTGTCCAAACTTCTTGGTTCTTAAGTCAGTTTACAAGGCTCATTGAAATCATGTGTAGTGACATTATCAGGTTGCAGCTTGACATGATTTCATAACAAATATCCATTTCCAATTAATTAAAACTGATCAAAACTTGTGTATTCAAACTTACAGATTGCTAAGGAACAGGGTGTCTGCTCAACAAGCCCGGGAGAGGAAAAAGATTTACGTCAACGATCTGGAATCAAGAGCCAAAGAATTGGAGGATGGGAATTTAAAGTTGGAAGAGAAGATATCTACGGTTGTTAATGAAAACGCCATGCTTCGAAAGGTGAGGCTTCTGTTACCGTTGATTGAGTATTACATCCACATTGCGGTTTACAAATCGTATAACTCTTTCTAATGGTCGAATTTGAAATCTCTGTCTCAATTTCAGGTTCTTATGAACACAAGGCCAAAAGTAGACGAAGGTATTGAACAAAAGCAAGGATCAGTTAAGTAAGAGCAGACAAGCATAAAGGAGTTCTTTTAGGCAGTTTTAGGTGAATATATTTAGAAATTTTTTAGAGATCAATTCCGACGAATGTGAATCACAGCCTTCGATTCTCCAGCTACATATGGTATTTGTGCATCACTTAATTTGATATGAACACTCAACTAGCTAGTATGGAAGTTTTAATGAACTTCTGTCTTCTCCCTTTTGTACCATGTATTTTTCATGGAAAATATTTTTTTTGGATGAATTTCATTCGAGAAATTGCTACTCATTGCATCTTCGTCAACTAGATGTTGTCAAAATATATAACTGAAATTTAAGCAAAGATTATTCCGTTTATATGTTGGATTATAAAAACGATACCTGAACATGCTGATCACTCTTCGAGCTTCACAGCAATGACTCATTTCAAAGAGTACATGTTGCATTACATGCCCTTGGCAATATAAATTAGGGAGAGAAGACATAAATAGAGATGATATACAGATATTTTCACTTAAACACCAGATTATGGCAGGTCTTGTCACAAGGGTACGGACAATCTATAGCTTTGGTACTATACCGATCGAAATACCAGTTTCCGACTGATTTTGCTATCCCCTGCAGATAATTGATGGCATATGAGATCAAGACAGACTCTAGTGTGACAAAATAATGTGAAAATGAAACGACTGCAAATCCATAGATATTTGTTTCTTTATCCGAGTTTAAAGTGGAAAAAGGACATACCTTATTTCCAATAAGGGGAGGATTTTGAGAAAACCAGGTGTCTTGTCTCTCGGTCTGGCAATGAGAAAAGCAAGAATTTATGAACAAACCATTTTTACCGGCCCTCGAGAATCCGCTTACAGCTTTGAGCATCTGATACCGGAAACCTAATAATTTGTTGGAGAAAGAAAAGAGATAACTGAATTCAGTTCCGAAACACAAAGCATTGAGCATGTAACTAAATCATCATCTGGAACACAAAGCATAATCAAACTAATGAGGTCACCTTGCAAAAACTTAATTTGCCATGCAGCACAGTTTGCATTATTGTTTGTGCATGCATGCCAAAGGCCATTAGGGTCTGCTGTTCGTGGAGCTAAACTGGCCTGGATCTGATTGAAGGAGAATAACATTTAAATTAATCATTCACTCGTCATCGTATCACGATTCTACTGCAAGATATCAGGTCTCATTCACCATATGAATCAGAAAGAAACGCGAGGATGAGAAATTATATATGAACGTACCTGCCATGTATCATAAGCTGCATTGACCAGAAAAAGGGGAGTCTTGACACTTGCAATTAAGTGCTGGGGGAAAAAGCACTGAAATTTGAACGACGAAGTTAATAATCAAGACTAAAAACAGAAGGGAAGCCTCTTTCCAAAATTGGGTTCTTTGTATAATCTATATAGAAAAGGGAGTTTCTCTTAAGATAAAATAAATACAAGAAAAGAAATTACCAAAGTCGGGTTGAGGCGATTGGTACAACTCCATGGGAGATTCTTTTGCACCCCCTGCAAAATAATTGTATCTACATGATCTTAAAAAGTTCCCCACATCAAAGTACAAACTAGCAGAACAAATTTTAGGAGTTCACAGATCAATGAAAAATTGCACGTCTTCGGTGTGTTAATCATAGAAGCTTCAATCCACAATAAGCACATTCGAAGGTTGATAGTTTTAGTTTTAAATTGTAATATACCTGTAGGCTAACCACTCTTCTAAACATACTTCTCAAAGTGCGCCTACCAGATACATCAATTCTGCAATTTCAGATAACAAGGTTATTTATCTAAGTACCAAAAGGTATCGGGCATGCCAAAATTTGTTGAAGAAAGGATACTTACGCGTCAAGAAACAATCCACCATCGCTGAGGCACTTGACTTTAGTAGTTGAGGGAAACATTGCACGAAATCCATCGCAGTGGAGTACAGTTGCAACACCACCAGCAGAACATCCAGAAAGAAGAGCCTGAAATCCAACGGTAAAGTGTATAATACTAACACGAGTAAAATTATATCATCTCTCAAAAATTAACAATAACCTGATTAGCATAACGCATTCCCTTTGACATCAAGTCTTCCATAGCAGCTTTCCAGATACGTTGCCCTCGAAAATGCAATCGGGCAGCCTGATCATCAAATAAGCCATAATTTTGCAGTCATAATTCATAAATGATGAAGCTAAAAAATTGTCCTCCAGAGTTTTAGCGGTATACAATAATGAAAAAGTAATTAACTTAAACCAGAAACAATACATGCATCAGTGGTAGAACAAGAAATTAGTTCATTTGTAAGGTGGAAATGACCATACCAATTGAGGACATGATCAAGAATCCTGCGTAAAATTGTTTGTCATCCATAATTAAATGTGGAAAATTCTTTTGAAAGAACAGTAGCAGTGTGACATGTTCAAGCAAAAATAATAAGAGGAAGGCTTACAACCACATAGCCTTAAGCAGTGAGAAAAACCATGGTTGAAAAGCGATATTTCTGAACTAATCTAATTAACCGGGAGGGGATACGAACTTGAGTGCAAGGTGATATGCACACTACACTAACCGACTAGCTTAACTCACCTCAGCAATTTTTTTTTCAGTACATTACATCTATAAGAATGCTGCTTTCTTTGAACTTTGTTTGCATAAAAATTGTTTAACAAAAAAATTCTCAAGAACCTGTTACATCACAACCAGTGTAATACAGCAACTTTTTCAAATTTAAGACCTCTGGATTTTGGAAATTAAGCAAACTGACCTCATTTTGACTGTCACCGCTGAAAGATGCACCATCACAATATCGAACCTTAACTCTGTTCCAGTTGTAAAAGTCTGCAATTGTTTGTTTTGCATCCAGAATGTCAGATTACTAATTACTTCAGAAAGAAAATGTAGGAAAAGTAGTGCTTTGTGTGTAATGAAATAAAGGACGCAGCCAGATATATAACCAGGGTTTTCTCCAGCCTTGTTGCTCAATATCCCTGAAAACGGTATCTGCTTCTCCATATATGCGGATGAACCACGACGAGTTTTCTTACGATAGACACAATTTCTGATTGTATCACACCATCCTCCTCCCTATCAATAAAAGAAGTTTAGCTCCTAACATGTTACAGGCAAGCCACCCAATAAAACAAGTTTAACCAAGGAAGGACAATTCGGCATCTTCTAAGTTCCTTCCCAAGATCTATTTCCTGTATCTCCTTTAGACACATAAAAAAGGAAAAGAAGTGCAAATCATCTTTGCCGAACGAGAAACTAAGTCTAATTTGATCAGAGTTACTAATGAGAGATCCATCTAGAAGTACCAATGGTTAGTAACAAACAGAAGGTTTACTCAATCATCATAACTATTAATGGTGATGTGTCAAGAACAGAACTGCCATAATTCACACTGTCAAGTGTGTATGACAGGTCTTAATTTCCCTCAGTTAAGACATACCTCCAACTGAACGAGCCAACTGTTTGCTCCTGACCCGTATCCGCGGTGGATGTGGTAAGCTGGTAATGTTCCATCTAGGCAGACTGCACATTGAAATATTGAATATCTGATAAGTCCTTCTTTTTGCGCAAGCATATGCATTATTTGGACACTAATCATATGACTCAAGGCATCACTTCCTTTCCTTTGCATTTCCTGGAATTGGCCACATGAGCATGTAACTAAGAAACAGATGATTTTACTTTCAACTATCAATGAATCCATTGAATCGTTCGACAAAGAAACAAACTTTAATAAACAAACAGAATCATAAAGAAGGGGTATGCACATCAAGATACACAGTTAAATCATTGAAAAAACACAGTAATCTGTAAATTCTAATATCTTTTCCATTTTTCATTTTTGGGTGACCAAAGAGAACCTGCTCCTTTGGCAGCAGCTCCATTGATGAGAGTGAGACCCACCATCAAGGGTCTGGTGGAAACCCCATAACCATAAGCTGCATAGCCATACACATTACTCTGTGTATAATGCAGGTCTTGTTCCTGGGTGACATTCACTTCCCTAATAAAAGTTCCATCTGTTCTTCTGCAAAACAGTAACCCCATAAACCCCACAACCCACAAAAGCTTCATGTTGGCTGACCCCAGAAATCTCATTGCGCATACAAATGGTAAAAACTAGAGCTAACACAGCGTTGAGAAAATAACAACAAAAAACCCAAATGATGATTGCAAAACTACAGTTCAAATCACAGCTATTTTTTTATTTATTTCACTGTAATTCAGCTGAAGAAAGGAAGGGGGAGGCAGAGAGACAGAAATACACAGAGAATGTGGCTGAAGAACAACTTGGGTAATATGAAGAGGAATATCAATAAGATATGCAATGATTGTGAGTGCCTAATTGGAGGGATGTTGGTGCTCGCTCCCGCCAATTTACATATACTTCATTCTTTCCACTGTCATTTCAACTTTTTCATGGATTATTGAAATTATGTGGGGCTATTTTGGAAGTGCATTAAAATTACTGAAAGTTTTTTTTTTGAAAAAAATGTTTTTGGATTTCAAAAACACTTGAAATACTTTTTGGAAGAAGCACCAAATATGTGTTTCTTCTTCTAGAAATCACTTTAAGTGATTTTATAGGATTTATTTGCATTTTTACTAAGGATTGGTTTTAATAACATTTTCACAAAAAAACTCTTTGAGTCTTGTTTTTTTTTTTAACAAACGATATTATTTACACGAAGGGCGAGGTGGTGGGCTTAGCCTTACAATAGACTAGCATAATGTGGTTCAAATCCGTCTTTGGTGAGAATCAAATCTAAGGTTTCTCACTTACAAATGAAAAGGAATATCAATAGACCGTAGTACAATGCTTTGAGTCATTTTAAAAATACTTTCAAACGAGCTCGTAATGTCAATATTATGTGAGAAAGTCGAAACCATAGTCTGTGTAGGTTGATAGAATTAGAGCTTTTAGGGACATTTTAACCTAATTAACTTCTTTTTTAAGTAAATAATGTATGCCTCTAAATTTAGAGTGGGGTTTAGTGATATTTAAGGGCAACCCTAAACCCCTTATCCAGACTGACTTGTGAGAATGGCAGCCGACACTTTATTTGATCGCCAATCACGCCTAGTCGAGAGCTGTACCACACTCATTTGGTATCTTTGCATGGCCATGATGTCCCCATGCTTATCAAATATTCAACTTTGTTATCCTAGTAGTTCACATTTCAACATCATGCACACCATCGTGAGTTCTATCCTAAAAGCTTACCAATGCTTTTGCATGTCCCACATTCGAGAAGAACTTGTCATAAGCTTGGAATGTCGTCGTGGGGTTATTTCATGTTAATCATGCATTAGTAAAGTAAAAATACATGACAATGTGTGATTGATTTGAAATACCGTCATAGTAGCATCACACATGTAGATAAGTTAATTTTCTTGCATCCACATCTATCATGACAACTTCTTCTTTTTTATAGTTTTTTAATACAAACGATATTAAAAGTGAGGAAAATCAAACACACGATCAAAGTATAAAGTTAACTAATCATAATCACTTGAGTTACAATCTTTTTATATCATATGCGTTGGGGAAATTGGTCTTATAGTATTGAGCACTATATGAGGTTCATATATAGTTCACCAAATTGGAAATTCCCAAATTATATAGAATTTGATCACTTAAAAATAATACAAGATGTTGTGGTCCATGCATCCATACCATGACATTGCCATCTATAGGGCTTTTGGCTTTTGGCTTTTGGGAATTTTTATTTTTATGTCACGTAACATTTAGTACTCAAAACTCAAAATTTCTGTATGCATGGAAATGGAACTAGTACTTGTACTTGGGGCATACACTTTGCTTCCTATTTTTTCACTTGGCCCCGCTTTGTTTTTCTTCCTTCTCTCCTGCCTTGGACACAATGCTTACACCACTTGCAGAGAAAGACTGAGGTTCTCCGGCTTTGAGCAACATTTCCTCGTCGACCGCAATGTCATTCTTATACTTGTACCATTTGGCACACCATACATAAATTCCGAAATTAACCACGCTGAGGATCGCGAGGAACCAATAGAAATAGTCCACGTGGCTTTTGTTCATGTCGCGCCCTTCCAGCCACCCCATTTTGTTCTTAGTGAACTTGCTAGTGATGGTGTTTATGAGATCAACAAAACCGTGCTCAAGTAGTAGCCAATGGACAGAGAGAGCCAAGAGAAGGAAGTGGAAAGAGAGCGCATGCCGGCGGGAGCTTCCTTGTAGAAGAATTCCATCAGCCCCACAAGTGTAAACATGTCCGCTATTCCAAAGATTGCGTAATGGAAAGAGAGCCAGAAGAGGCTGATTTTGTGGTTGTGGTGAACCATCTCATGTTTTCGCTTCACTTCTACGAGTCCTGCTATGGCCATTGAGATAGCTGAGAGGACAAGCCCCACCCCGACTCTTTGGAGGTGGGTTATGCCATTGGGGTGACCCGTGATTTTGCGCAAGAGGGGAACGAAGGCAAATTCGTAGATGGGGATAAGGAGGGACATGAACAATAGAGGAATCACCGGGATTGAGGCAGATGGGACATCAAAATCGCCAATGCGCGTGTTCATGAGGGTGCCTTGTTGGATTGAAACGGTTTGCAATTGGGCTAAGCATGTGTTCATGAGGATTGTGCTTAGAAGAATAGGCATCATCCTTGTCAAAACCTTCACTTCTTCCACCTGCGTGACTGTGCAAACTTTCCATTTTCCTGCTCCGCTCAGGCCTGTAGGAAGAACGGCTGCCTTGTCTAGTAATCTGCTCAAAGAAAAGTTGTACTTTTCAGTCATTGCGATATTTTGTTTAGTTTGCATGCTTGCTTGAACAGCAAGTAACTATCGATCTAACATCTAATTAGTCACATACTGTCACGTGATCTGTTATTGCCAGAAACATGGTACATGCCGATTGTATGCAAGAATTGAAAGCGAACAAGTGGAGATAACAAATTAAGGGTTTGAGGACCATGCCTGAATTGACTGCTGTGGGGGATGAGCTCTGCTTTAGAAGCAGAATCGCGAGCGTGTATTTCATACAATTCATCGGAACTCTGGGGTACCTCCACCTTCCAGTTCTTTACAGACACCACCAAAACCTGCACAACAGGGTCATCTCAAATTAATCAGTCCTCTGTTAATGGCATTACTAATCACTGTTTTTATTAGCTAAGTTACCAGACACGAGAGGAAGGGAGAGAAAGACCTCTAGAACCCTAATCAAAGGGCTGTCTCCTGGAACTCGGACGCGATAATATGGCCTTCCCAATGCAACAAAGATAAGACCAACCGCAGCGCAGGACAAGGAGATGATAAATCCGATATCCCATCCAACATTTGAGCTCACATACACCACAAATGTGACACCAACCACAGCTCCAACTGTTATGCTAAGCAAAAGCCAATTGAAGAAGCTGGCTATGAGCTTGTGCTCATTGGGATCTTTGGAGTTGAATTGATCAGCTCCTAAAGCCGGGATTGCTCCTCTGATTCCACCTCCTCCAAGTGCCACAAAGGAAATCGAAGCGTAAAACAGTAGGGCCTTTGTGCCATGCACACAGGTTGATTCCAGACAAGGTAGAGGTTGCAGTTTTGTGTAATGGGATTGAATAATGAGCAACATATATCCCTGGAAGTCAAAACACAGCATATATGTATTGATTAGTGTAGTCCGGCTATGAAACAGACAGTCTGTTTGTACTAAAGAACGAAAAGTCCTACATAAAGATTCCTATTGATTAACATTAGTTCTTTTTTTGTGTTTCCGGTTAAGATGAATCAGATTAAGTAGGTTGGAAGGATGGAAAGAAACAAGATTTACCATCAACTCGATTACGCCAAAGAGTAGAGTCGTGTTGAGGCGATTCATATAGGCATCAGAGATGAATCCTCCAACAATGGTGAGCAAGAATGTAGTGCCCAAGTAATTTGTTGTGGTGGTTGCAGAGCCAGAGAGGTCAAAATGTATGACGAACATGTATAAAACCAGGCTTGCCATGTTAGCCACAAAGCCTATGTTATCAAGGAACATCATTGCTGCACACAAAACACAGATACAACAAGAGCTCAAATTTCTGTCCCGAATTAACGTGATTTCGAAAAAATGACACCATTTTTTATATAAGGGGGTCCCACATATAATGGTAGAGTCCGTTTCTATTAAAGTGTGTCATGCTGCACTAATCACTTACCAAAGATAAAATAGTTGGCCTTGAATCCACCTTGGTTCCTCTTCAAGGGCTCATAGGCCAAGTCCTTAGCACCAAGTTCATTGTCCAACCCCTACAAAGTATAACCAACTAATATGAGAAAATGACATACAAAATGTAGTAGCTCTAATGAACAACCATGCATGTTCAATTTGTTTTTTTTTTTTTTTTTTTTTTTGGTGTAAAATGCTAATTGAATGAGCAAGGCATGACACTTTGAATTCACGGTCCATTAAACAACTGCTTTTAGAATGGTTAAAGAGCTTTTGAAAGCGTTTAGAGAAAAAGTTAAATGTTATTTGGTTCAAAAGCTTTTTTTTTGGGTAATTGGTTTCTGAAACATTTTCAGAAACACTTGAAATTTTTTATAAAACCAATTTAAAAAGATTTCCACCAAAAACGTTTATGAGCAGAGGTGTTTTTGCCTCAGTAGTTACCATAGCCAAGGATGATAAGAGTTCCTTTGTTAAAGAAAAGGGTGGTTAGAGATTTTTGGGAGAAGAGTAAGGAGAGAGGGACTCCTACAGGTGTTAGCGGGAGGTTGCAAGTGCATAAATATATATAGACACATGTATTTATGATTAGGTGTGTTGTTAAGAGAGCATAAAATGTTACGCCATCCTGTCTAATGCCAGTGCCAGTGGCATCCTAATTGTGGGAAGCATACAAAAACAGTGGCATTCCAACTCCCAGATCCCAAATGCCAATGCCAAACAACGCCAGAAGCCGACGGACCGGCCGTGAGATCCAATCCAGCACAAGTATTCTCAATCATTGTCGCTCTGACAGCCATCTATAATCTAAGTTATTTATGCCCTTAATCATAATTTAATTTACAAATGCTATTTCAAACAACGTGAAAGATGGAGCCAGAGATGATTAGTTGGAGACAATTCCCCTAAGGTGACCAATGAGGGCTCACTTGGAAATGTCTGTTGAGCGAGCATTCATGTTCATAAGCGTTTTTGTTAAAAATGCATTAATGTAAATAGCATTTGGAAGTGCTTTGTGAAAAAATTCAAAAGTTCTGTCTAACAACTAAAGGTGCTTCTAAACTGCATTTGGACTTAAAAGTGCTTCTAGCTCATAGAAGCGCTTTTTGGAGAAGCACCTGCCAGGTTCAATCTTTATCAAGCTAATAAAAATTTCAACGTATTTATCATAAGAGCAATTCTTACAAAAATACTTATGAACATAAGAGCTTTTAGAAAAGCAATCCAGCAGGCGGCCCATAAGGCGTTTTTGGTTACACAAAAGCGTTTTTTGTCATACAAGAGGCAGTTCCAACTGGAACCCGAGCCTTTGCTTAGTCTTATTCGAGGGCGTGAGATTCTGGCTGCTAAGTTACGGCCAGGAGGGGCATTAGATGCTTTTGGTGGCCTTTACGGTGGAAGATCATAGCTAGTAGCTACCCTACAAAAACGTCAACATTTAACTCCCCTTGCACTCCACATGTCCGAGTTTACAAGCGGATCTTCCAATCTGTTGCCTCCAAACTTCTTACAAGCTCATTGCATCATTCACTTCCCAGCCAGTCATCACCTTTGTATTTTCCATCATTTTGTAGTGCACTGCACTCGACCAAATCTGCTGTATTTTTTCAGTTAGATCATGAGCTATCGATAACTTATTGTACAATCCAAGTCGTAAGGAAACCGGGTTAGGCAGGTACGACGACCATTGCTTGTGCACGCTCAAGTCCGGTCGTGTTTGAGCATGAAGAGCAGCAGACACAGCTCAAATAGTTGGTACAACATCACATTCATTAGATTTTTCCGCAAGTATTCCTGTTTAAATAAGGAGGTCGCACTTGGTGCGATGGCAAGTGCCTTCGCCCATGAGCAGTAGGTCTCGGGTTCGAGACTTGGGAGCAGCCTCTCCATAAATGGGGGTAAGGCTAGCCGACATTTACCTCTCCCAGACCCTGCGTAAAGCAGGAGCCTTGTGCACTGGGTACGACCTTTTTTTATTCCTGTTTAAATAAACGAATACAACTATGACTATGCATTTGGTATCTCAAATGAATAGCTACAATAATCAATCAATAAATGTGGACAAAAATTTTCAGTTGATTACATGTATGGTTTCTATTTTTCGCTGAACGGGTCTTGTAGAGCATCATCATCATCTTCTACGCGACTGAAATAGTAATGTGACGCCACACAAACGAGTATGTCCGTGAGGATAAGACCAGCCACATCGAAAACAAACTTAGGAGCAAATAAACCCCATACCTGCAAGGTAAACATGTGGCTATGAGCATATCATGGGAAAAAATTATCATGAAAAGAAGAGAGATTCGTGTTAGAATGACGTTTTTACCATTAGATGCCGCCTATGCATTGTAACGCATATTATAGTGGCTGTGACCGAAGTGGCCGTGATGACCCCATAAATCATATACACCTAAAACATGAACAATAATCGACTCACTCGTGATCTTACTAAAAGAATCCCTTTTGTAAAGATAAAGCTCATTTCAGTGGCAAACAGATGATCTATATGCAAGTCAATAAACTTACTAGAGATAGTCGCGTGAGCATGAATTTCTTCCCTTTCTCGGTCTGACCCAGGCGTGCAACAAGAAATGGAAGTCCAAATATTGGAAGGATGAGAGAAAAACCAAATGTGTCCATTGTAAGGAGGATTGCTTGGGGACCTAGGACGAACTCATCGAACCTGAAAATAATACAGGGTTTTAATAATCTAATCCACAGGGCAATGGATATAACTCCCACACTATGACCATTGACCACTAACAAAGGCAAAAGTGGTAGACAATCACTACTGAATTCTTTAGCTTTCAAAAGATACTTATTGGATACCCGTGACTCACCCAATAAATGCAGCACCGTATCGGAGGCCGTCAAAAGCACACCTGAAGGAAAGTTTGTTTTGGGTTATGAAACATAAAGAGGGCAAAAAATGAAGAAAACAATGCAAATATAATATAGAAAAATTCAACTCTTTTTGTAGGGACCAAACCAAAAGGATTATGAAAACTAACACAAAATGTGCTGACAAGAGAAATCAGAAAACACCCAAAGTAGGAAACAAGCAACAAACCAATGACCAGTGCAGAAAAACAGGCACACAGCAAAAAGGCTCCATTGAGTTACAGGGACAGGATCAAGCGACGTATTCCAACTGCCTCCATCTTTGGCATCCAGTTCTATGTTATCCAGCCTCATTATGCAATAACCTGGCAAAAGTCAAAACAGATTATTACATGTACCAAAACTTTGAGAACAAAAGCACAAATCATTTTATAAAACCTAACATGGTTTTTCTCCAATGAAACAACTTCTACGACTGACCATGTATTCAAAGCAGGGCTAAAAGATGAATTTTATTGGCCAAAACAATATCATTCAGTAGAAAAATAAAGCACCAAAACTGTAAATAACTAAAACACACACCTCCAATAAGGAATGCTAAAGCAATCCAGGGCCCCTGCTTTCCCAACAGAAGAATGACTGTTGAGCTCCAGGCAGAAAACATGGCCACTGTTTTAATAAATAAGACTTTGCTGCAATCTGAGGATTTCCCTTTATTGAAAAACTGATTAAATGCCAGTAAAAACAATTGTCCAAATCCAATGGCATATATCAGTCGAGGAAGGTTATTTCTTCCAATGCCTTTAAGCACCTCATCCAGATTCAATATGTTACTTTCTGAAGCCCAATGCACTGCTATTAGTATATAACTTATATTGGTTCCTATGACAATATACTTCCAAATCCCCTCAGAAGAGCTTCCAGTAATAGCCTTGCGCAGCAAGATTGCCAATAGAATCAGGGCAACTACTGGTAAAACTTCAGCGAGAATATTCCAAACTGGAAACCCTGCAGTGATCCTGAGCATCCACGAAGGATATGCATTAATAATTTCAGAACTAGGAGCCTGCTTTGACATTCCAACTTCAATAGTAAATCTGCAAATGGTGATCAGAAGAAGGAAAACAAATGCCTGCACTTACATCAGTGAAAAATGATCATTACAGGTAACAATATTTGATCTAGTTCTATCAGAAATGAAATCACAAACTTGTAACAGTATGTCCGCAAAAAATGATTAATTAGAATTAGGGTCTTGGGTGGGGGCACAGTAAAAGAAACCGGAGGTAAACAACTACTTACTTCTAATATCATCTTCTTCTTCATGATTGAATATCGCATCTTAATCAGTCCAGTTGTGGCCAAAAGAAAGCATGCCGCTTTTCCTTCTTCCACTGATCTCAAGATTGACAATAAAGAAAAAGAGAAAAAGTTACTTTGCCAACGTGAGCATTAACCATGGATTATGTGCATCAATATATAAATGAGCAGTAATTATTACTTACAGATAAAACTATTCGAGAGGAAGCTGCATGCACGCATCACCACCATAAAACAAGAAAAAACTAAACCGAAGGATATCCCAGAATCTCCAGATGAAGTAAAAGAAAAACCATATTGCTCTTTCACTTTCTTAATTGCAATGAAATGCATAAGAAGTGACATCAACATAATGCCAAGTCCAGCACCCATCATCTTTAAATTAAACTCAGTCCATTTGGAGCGTGCAAGTTCAGCAACACTTGCCAGGAAATCAGAATACAAATCAATTTGCCTCTTAAGAGCAGGCAATAATTCATTCTGGCCTTCCTTTTCACGTGAAAGCAATTTCTTTGTAGCATGTGACCATTTCTCCTCTGCTTTAGCATACATGCCTGCTATGTGTAACAAGTCTTCGTGGGAAAATCCAATAACTGCTGAAGCTGAATAAATATCTATATATCTTTTTACCTAAACACGAAGAATCCAACAATTATTTCAGATAAATGATACACGAGGGTTAAATTTTTCATCCAAGAATTGATGAAGTACATTGACATAATATAAAATGCTAGAGTAATACCTGCCAAGAATTGGTGCAGAGAATATTGGCATAATTCAGCATCCATTGTTCCAACTTTGAATGACTTTGGGAATTGCCCACACTATCTTCAAAATTCCATGTTCCAGCACCTAAAGCATATAGCTGAGGATTAACTTGCCCAATACTGAAAATAAAACAAATAAAAGTGATATAATTCCTTCAACAACGAAAAGCTAAAGTAATGACACAGTGGTACAGAGGTGAACAATCCATTGGACATTGATTATTGTGATTTCTACATCATAGAATTCAGAAATGAAGGAAGCCAACATATGTTCCAGGATATGGAAACTGGAACAAATATTAGACGCCATATATTAGAAATCATGTTTTCAAGCAAGTTACGCTTTGTGTAGGATCACCAGACATTGTCAACTGGACACAAAGTGGATAGATTTACAGTGTGCAATGCTCTCACAAATTGAGTACCATGAAAACAATGCAAACCAAACCCATATAATCCAAACGCGGGATCGTGACCTCTCACAAAGATATAAACAACAACCCAGTTTGTATGACATTTTGTGTATTAACAGAGTCTCAATTAGGTTAACTACAGTGACAGCTTCATCCAATAGATTGCCTTACAGTCTTTTATTTATTTATTTATTTTTGGTCTGGAAATGAGCAACCTGGTAAAATGTTGTCCATATATAAGCAGTAGGCACTGGCTCAAATAAACGAATGTTGACTTCATGGCCATTGAATGTTTCATTTCATATTTCATCGAAAGTATTGGCTTGCCCATGGTATAATATAGTGTAGGAAAAAAATAAGAAGCCGAGTTAGTCATGTAATGATCAATAAAATCAATAAGTAATGACAATCATAATGGCAAAACTTAAATTGACAGGATGCTTACACTACACCTTCCAAAAGGAAAGGGGATACCAAGAAGCGCTGATATTGTCACTGCAAAGTCAAGCTGCAGAGAGTGACTTGACTAAGGATGGGTGATTGGCAAGTAAGACAAAAGAACAAATACATTAACCCATTATTACCTGCTGGAAGGAACTGGCACAAATATTCCTCCCATCCTGAAGCCAAACAATAAATAATTTAATCAGAACAAAAAATTAACTTATGACTCATAAAAACCTAATTAAAAATGCCATTTGAACAAAGAGATTTTCTTCTTTAAAGTTCTCTTAAGGCTAATAGGACTCATACCTATGGAGAGTCTGAAAGACAAATTAGTTTTATGACCAATCGAATCAAGTTTCAACAATCCCTTTAAGTCGTCGTACCCAGTGCACAAGGCTCCCGCTTTAGGCAGGGTCTGGGAGAGGTGAATGTCGGCTAGCCTTACCCCCATTTATGGAGAGGCTGCTCCCAATCAACAATCCCTTTAAGTAAAAGGCAATATTAGATTTTGAAAATTTAAATTATTTAATTGTCCAACCATTTTGAATGTTTCTCTTTTTCATTTTCTACAAAATCAATCTTGAGCCTCCATAAAATATAAGAGAAGAGTAGCAAAGGGAGCAACTCATTCGTAGGTAGAAGATTTCTATTGTACTTTGGGAGAGAGGCGGTACCAAGTCTAGTTCACATGATGAAGTATCAAACTCTAATAGTATGGGAGATGGAGGATTCTTAAAGCTCACAGCAAACATTGATGTCTCAACCTGCATTGTGTTTTATTATTAGCACGAGTAAAACAAAATAAAAAATAAATAAGCATTAAGAAAAACATGTTTTAATACGTACCTCTTCAGCACTTCCTCCACCATGATCTCCATTCACAGTCTGACCATGATCGCCCATCACAAGTAGCAGAGTATTTTCATGTAAGCCCCCTGGCGCAGACTGCCTCTCCAGTGCTTCAACTACTTTCTAAAGCAAACTGATCAGTTTGTTGTGGAAATTAGGGAAGGATAGATAAAAAGGCTAGACCTATAGCACATTATTAGGTGAACAAGGCGTAGCAACGGCACCAAGCAGCAAAATGTAAGTTCCTAAAAGGCTAAAACTATTCAATATTTTGAAAAAATGACCCAAAGGTTGGAACGAAAAGGAACCAAATTCAGAAAGTTGAGGGAGAATCATAATTTTGATAAAAATTCCCACGTGTTTGGGCTTCAAAATTGTACTTTCATTGCTTATCATGGAAGAAAAGCGAAAAAACACATAAAAGATATCATAAAAACTGGGTAATTTATCACAGGGAGCCAAGTAACAGCCAACTAGCAAGTAAACAAAAATTAGGAATCCATGGAAGCAAAGCGTCCAATGAAGCATACTTGCTCAGAGCGATTTTCATATGTGAGTTTGAGGACTTACCAGCAAGACGTTGTTGTATTGCTCCAACTTTTCTATCATTTGCACAGAATCAACCCCAAATATGTGCCCAGCATGATCCTGAGCAATGAGAAAATTTAAAATAAAAGGTCGTACCCAGTGCACAAGGCTCCCGCTTTAGGCAGGGTCTGGGAGAGGTAAATGTAAATAAATAAATTATACATAGCTTTCATTAGAAGAACATAATCTGCTTCTCGTATGAAACCCTTAGAGCAGGTCTATACAATTGGAAACAAAATATCCAAATCTACTTATCACTGCAAAAAGTAAGCAAACAAACCGTACCACTCCAAGAAAGTGTGCGATAAGAACATCCCAATCTTCTTGGTACAAGAATGGAAGAAGGTGGTCAATGCATCCGCTGTCCACCTGGAACAGAAAGACAAATTACTTCTAGCCATGATCATATTCAACAATATGACTGAATTCAAGGAAGGTTAAAAAACTTGGAATTTTTTTGTAAGGCGTACCGTATCAAGATCTCTAACATTAAAAGAGGGGTAAGGAAAAGATTTTTCAAAGTGATGAGGAAACAACTGCGTCCATGTATCATCCCCCATCATCACAACTCGCTTTCCATTTTTAGCCAACTGCAAGTAGGTCCACGTTTCAGATTGGCAACAATAAGAAGTTATACAATTTGAAAAAAAAAGAATTACTATCCAATACAAGAAATTATGCCAAGTAAAATCATGGGAGGGGGAGAGAGCAACTTGATGTATCAAGTTATCTTCAACTATAGCTGGAGCACCAAAGCTGTTCCCAACATCAATAAAAGTCGGCAATCCACCAGTTGTCAAGCCCTACAAAACATTGCAAGGGAAGCAATTGATAAAGTTAACATGCATCCTTGGCATAAGGCCTGCAAACAGGCTCTAATTCACCAAATTCGAAATATCAAAGCATGCATTGCTCTACACTAGAAACGCAAACTAAAAGCATGGAACAGTAAATCATAATCCATGAAAGGATAAGCTTAAAGTGGTGCACGAGGCATTGTGCAAAGCAACCATCTTGAAGCTAACATTACAATTTAGAACAAGCAAGAGAAAAAGCTAACCTTCAAACGCTGCAAACTCGTCGTGGGCGGATCAGCAATGGCTTTGAAAATCCGAGCAGACGATGCATTTCTAGCTGCAAGGTCTTGTACAAGCTGTAATTTGTTCATCCATGGCTTCAATTCTGCAACATAACATTTATCAAGCACTCGACTTTACAATCGCAATCGTATTGCAGGCAATGACTAGTGGAGTGAGAATTGAGAATGCTAACCTTGAAAGAAAGTACTCGGAGCTACAAAATCAAACCTGAGAAAAACAAAGAGATTAACAAAACTGAGATTGCCCACATAACTTTCTTCGATAAATTTGATAAATTTGAAACGGGGTTTACCTGAGAGCGTCGAAAACGATGATTACAAGCCGCCCAACAGCAGGCTTGCTCCAGCAACGCTGCTGATTCGGCTCAACGGTGTCATTTCGGTTCAGGGTTTCTGGAACGGAGTATGAGCAAGGCGATTGGGAAGCGTCGGAGCAGTTGCTGTAAAAGGGAAGCTCCGTCCGGGTGAGAAGAAAGCCTCTGGTGAATAAGAGAATGGCGACGACGTGAAGCGCCATGATCGCCCAGTGAATCCATATTCCTTTACCCATCTTGCAAGTAATTGCATTAAGAAGAAAGGGTCGCTGGTTCCTGGGTTTCTTGTGAGATCTTGTATTTAAGGGCAGTGATTGCCGCGCGTTGATGACGTTTGATTCACTGGGCTTTCAATTTTCAACTCTGTTTTTCCTTTTGACATGTTCTGATTTAGTTTCCAATAATTAAATGTTCTGGCAACAGTCTACTAATATTCTTCTTTATTGGTAAGTAAGAAGTGTTATATTCAATTCTTGTTAAAAATGAATTTGAACCACATTTTTGCTAGTACATTGTAATGTTAAGTGCATCCCCTCCCTTAATGTAGATAAAATCGCTTGTTCAAAAAATTAAAAATAATCAGATCTTACACTTTCAATTCGGACTAATGTCTTTCTCATTCACAGTTCTGTTAATTATGTCAGTTATTTTCATCCATTTTGTACTATATAAGCCTCGGAACATGGTGCGATGTGTAAGTTCCAATTCTTCTCCAAATAATTTCAAATTGAGAGTTAATTTTGTTGCGAATGTAGTATTTTGATGGTGATACGCCTAAAACTCGGTTATGCTGCATTGCAGGTGATGAAATTGAGGAAAAATTGCGACGAAATTGATAATTGAGAACATTGACACGAATTGAAAGTTCAAAGAACTCAAAACCAATTTGAAAATGCGGGGGACAAAGTAGAATAAAGTCCAAAGTTAAAGAGGTTTTGTAAGTTTTCCGTTGAAAATGGATACATTTTTTCAAGTTTTCAACTTATAACAGTAATCATGTTGTTCTGAGTTGTAATCATTTAGAAAAAAGAATTCTGATTTTAATTAAATTATAAAGTTTCAAAACACAATAGTAGTGCACTCGGTCTGTAACTCAATAGAGTTTTGAGTGTATAACTCAATACAGAATCAAAGCCAAAGCATGTTCCTTTGACAAATTTGAAAACATTCTTCCGGCAAGGCTTTTCTTGTCGATCAGTCAGTCAGTCAGTCAGCTGAAATCGCTCCATTTTATCGTCGGGATACAACTTCACCGTGTTAAAAATGAAGATTCTTCTTCCATGGATGCGCACCCTATAACGGTGCCACGAGCTGACCCAATCATCGGTCTAGTTTCCCTCCATTTTAATGGCTTAGCCGATGGATTGCAAACCCTAACCAAACCCAACTTCACAATGTCAAACCTCCCGGCACCAGATTGTTCCCACCTGAGAGCCTTCCCTCCCAGAACATATAGTTCGTGCCTTAAGGCAGCAAAACCGTACCCAAAAGCCTCCAGCAGCCGAGGGTGATCATGAAAAATCACTGACGGAACTGAGCCTATGGTGTACCACTCTCCCTTTTCAGTATCCCTTGTTTTAATCAAGCTCTCGCCCCAGTCTACAACAGTATATATTCGATTATCTCCGATCACCTGAGCTGCAAATTGCATTGCCCTGGAAAAAGGCCAGATGTCTTCCACAGTGCGCCATGTTCCATCGGATGGAGTAAAAACCTCAGAGGTATTTTGGTCTGGCAGGCCTACTTGATCACTGAGAACATGAAATCTGCCTTTGAATGACAAGCCTAAGCAGTCCATCTGAGGATTGAGCATTGGTGGCAACTCCTCCCATCTGAAAATTTCAAACAGTTATAACTCGATTAAAGAATTACCAGATTAGGAAAGAAAACCGAAGAAAGAAATACAACTGAATCAGTTGGCTATAATATTATCACAAACACGCATCCACGCATACACGTTAGGTTATCTGCTATTAATACCGTCGGGCCTCACTTTTAACGAGGGGGGATCAAGATAAACATAAGAAAAGTCAGTAATTTACCAAACCTCAAGGAAGACTGAAGTAGTTTGCTCAAAAAAGAAACGGCGAAATGTAATATAGCAAGAAATGAAAAACGAAAAACTTTTCCATATGTAAAAATGACAGAAGCAGTGATAGTAACATCAGATCTCAGACATTATTGCCAAATATAGTAACATACTTATTAGCCACAGGATCATAAACCTCAGCAAGAGCAAGCCCTCTGGTGCAAGATAAGTTGCGGCCCCCAACAACGTAAATTTTACCAGAAACAACACTACATGCAAAATGAGTACGCGGTGTAAGCATGCTTGCCACACTGGTCCATTGTTTCTTAAACGGATCAAACTGCATCACCTCATTTGTTACCAAAGACTTTTGGTGGGGAACCGGTGGGTCATTCTGCGCATAGGACCCTCCAATAACGAAAAATCGGTTGCAGACACCAATACTTGAAAATCCAAAGTGTTTCCAGTCACCATGAGCGGTGGGAATCTTTGGCAAAGGATGCCACCTATCAGCTTCAGGATCATAAGCAACCCACTCATTGTTAGATCCTTCTGTAAGAACAAACAGCCAGTCGCCGCACCATCCTTCTCTAGCTTTATAATTGGCATAGTCCGAGCTGCGTAATAAATCTCTCCACGTCTTTGAGACAGTTTCAAGCAATCCATGGTACCCATGAGACACCTTTGCCAAGCATCTCAACGCCAAATCATCAGACAATCCAGGAATAATACACTGGTGCAGAGACTCCCTATATTCCAAAAGATAAACCAACCAAATCCTTGAGACCGAATACTGGAAAACCGAAAAAATGGAAAAACTACATGCATATAGAACTATAGACAAGATAAAGGCCAGTTCTTTGAAAAAGCAACAATTGTATTTACCAAATATAAACTAAAAAAATAAAAAACAACAGCAAAAATAATTTTATGTAGGGAACTGAGAGAAACATTACACCATTTTTAAAAATCTTAAGCATGGCATTCTTGCTGAGAAAAATTGATATCTAGTTGAGAACTGAGAAAAACAATTTCTTACATATTTCCAATATATCCAGAAGAAAAAAATGGCTCCTTTTGGTTATCAACCTGAAATGGGCATCGGCAACTCCGCTACAGGAATCAAATACCAAATTGAAAGTCAAACCCTTCTGATGAATATCCTGCAATTTTGAATTGGGGTTCAGATAACTACGCAGAAATACAAAATTCATTCATTAAAATTGAGAAATATGTAAAAAAAAAAAAATTAAAAAATAATTCAATGGGGGAGAAGACTTGCAGAAATAGCAGGTAAATGGATTGTTGGCCTTCTGGATTCTGGGCAGAAAATCAAATCCAAGCTAGCTTCTTTGCAGTTTCAGCGGCTCCAATCCTCTGTGGCTCTTATCACTTACTTTCAGAAATGCTTGATTCAGAAGAAAGAAGAAGAAGATGGAGTTGGGGATAAATTGGTTTTTTCTTGTACTTTTTCGTGACGACCTAAATATTCTTTTGTTGATGTAAACATAATGAATAACATAATCATGTACTCCCGTCGCTATCCCTACCTAGAAATTAACTTGGCTATTCAATAGATAAAGGAGTTCTTCTTCAAGATGTTTGTGGAATTGTATTAAATAATTAGAACCGTTCATATAATAAACTATTTAATTATTGAATTGTATAAAAATATATGATCGAATGCAATAAAATTATTATAAAATGTCTATCTATTTACTACGGTTAATTGACTAAACACTCATGTTTTTAATTAAATTTTTTGCAAAGATAATATCGACAAAATGATTGATAATACAAACGATGCTGATAAAAAAGATAAAATACCGTAAATCAATAACACGATACTTTGAGGATTAACTCCTCCTCGAGGTATTAATAAGAAAGCTGATGATCAAACTGAAAGTCGAGGAGATAGATCAGATGAAGGTCATATTAAGACACTTTTAAAAAATTTCACAACTAAAAATGAAATTAATAGTCAATTAGTACTATAATATTTCGCTTCATTTGTAAGTGAAAGGTTTTAAGTTCGATTTTTGCAAAGTCTAACTTGAACCACATTATTACTATCTCAATGTGAAACTTAATCCACTATTTTACCCCTTAATCTTGGTAATATCATGTGTTCAAAAAAAAAATTAATGGAGGTCAAATTTTCCTATTAATTTATAGCAGGCCGGACTGGCACTGCCGGCCGCGGGGCTTGCGTCACGAGGTAATGGGCTATCTTACGGGTCGGCCCATTTCTTAACATAACACGAAACTTAAGGAAGCCTCTCATGCACGCGCAAGTCACGTGATTAGAGTCCTACAAAATAAATCGCGGAAAAGAAAAAAATTGTAACCGCCAAGCCGAAGCGTCTTGGACTCTCTGGAAGGTGCTTTTCGTACGAACCAAGAAGCCAAATCGATTCGAGAGAGGAGGCCGTTGCACTCGAAGATCAACCAATTCAACGCAGCCCGAAGCTCAAGAATGGTGATTGGAAATCGAAGGCCGCGATCGAACGGAATGTTGCCGCTGCTGGCACTTCACGCCGTCAGCGAGTATTACAGGCTCGAACGGAAACCGCGCGTCACCGCCGGACTCATCGCCGCCAACGCTCTCGTCTACTTGCGCCCAGCTTTTCTCGACAATATTCTTCCATCAATTCAAGAAGTCGGGTTCAATCCTCACCTCATCCTCAAGGTAATTTCTCATTTCTTACTCAAAAAGCCCAAATTGTTGTAAAATTTTAATTCTTGCTCTTCTTATAATTGCATGTATGCAATAAAATTTGAATTGTAATGTTTTGTTAGATTTTGCTACTATTTTGTATGAACAATGTGAATAATAACCCAAGTTTTGTTACTCTTTCAGTTTATTTTTCACATTTCTAAGTTATGAAAAACCCCAAATTGTTTGTAATGTGCTAATTTCGGTCCTGTCCATGTATATGATAGAACTTGAAATATTATTTTCTGTTAGAATTTCTAGAAAGCTACAACCTTTTTGTTGTTTTGATTTCATATGTCAATTGGGTTTAATGGGATCATTGTAAATTAGTGTGGGTAAGTTGTTTCTTTATTTTTTTGCAAATTTTATAGTTTTGATTCTATATGTGAATTATACATTGATGTGGACAAGCTGTTTTTGCAATTGGTTTGAACAGTATGGGGACTTGAAGCGGTTCTTCTTGTCGCCGTTCTACCACGCCGGAGAGTCTCACTTGGTTTACAACATGCTCTCCCTGTTATGGAAGGGGATTCAGTTAGAATCTTCAATGGATAGTGCTGAATTTGCATCCATGGTTGCTGTCCTGTTGGGTATGTCCCAAGGAATGTCACT